GTCCAGGATAATGACCGCCAGGTTCAACTCCAAAGGAAGGAAAGTGTCAATCATACAATGTTATGCACCCACAAACAACGCAGACCTCGAGAAGAAAGAAGAATTCTACAGGCAACTACAGGCAACAATGGACAATACTCCAGCTGGCGACATGAAAATACTAATGGGAGACATGAACGCCAAACTGGGACCAGACAATACGGGAAGGGAACTCATCATGGGTAGAGAAGCTCTAGGAGAAATGAATGAAAACGGAGAACTCTTCGCCGACTTCTGCGCCTTCAACGAACTGGTGATTGGTGGCAGTGTATACAAGCACAAAGATATCCACAAGGCTACATGGGTGTCACCAGACGGGCAAACCAAAAACCAAATCGACTTCATCTCAATCTCAAGGAAGTGGAGGCGCAGCCTACTGGACACAAAAGCAAGAAGAGGAGCAGACGTTGGCTCAGACCACTATCTCGTACAAGGGACAATCCAAATCAAATTAAAAGCTTTCAGGGAATCAGGAGCTGCAGATAGACCACAAGCCAAGTTCAACACTCAAAAGCTGAAGGACCAGGCTACAAAGGACATCTTCATTGCAAGCATAAAGGACAAAGCCGAGACACAAATCAACACTAGCGAAGAGGTCGGCGTTGAAAAGCACTGGAACAACTTGAAAACGGTGTGGAGCCAAACCTGCATAGAAATTCTAGGCAGAAAAAAGAGACAGGACAAACAGTGGCTCACTACGGACACTTGGAAACTAATAGAAGAGAGAAGGACAGTGAAGCAAAAGATTATCCAGTGCACTGACGAGCAACAAAAACAGGAGCTGAATGCAAGCTACAATACACTGAACAAAAGAGTGAAGAAAAGTGCCAGGGAAGACAAAAGAAAATATTATGAAACCATGGCAAACGAAGCAGAACAAGCTGCAGGCAAAGGAGACCTCGCCACACTCTACCAAACAACTAGGAACCTTTCGGGCAAACGTTCGACACAGATTAAGCCAATAAAGGACGACAATGGAAAGTCAATCACCAAAGAGGTGGAACAGAGAAAGCACTGGGTTGAACACTTCAAAAGACTTCTAAATCGTCCGCCACCTACAACACGTCCAGCAATACCAACAACGGAAGCAGAACTACCAGTGAACACTGACCCCCCGACGAAATCAGAAGTCCTGAATGCAATCAAGATGCTTAAAACTGGGAAAACACCGGGACCAGATGGAATCCCAGCAGAGGCTTTGAAAATAGACCCAGAGACAACAGCGGACTTGATGACACCACTACTGGAGAAGGTGTGGAAAGAGGGCAAAGTACCCGAGGATTGGAAGAACAGTTACTTATTCAAACTTCCAAAGAAAGGAGACTTAAGTCAATGTAAAAACTGGCGTGGAATTATGCTTCTGTCCATTCCAAGCAAGATACTAAGTCGCATCATCCTGGAGAGAATCAAACAAGCCCTAGATGAAAAACTTCGTCCGGAACAGGCTGGATTCAGGAGAAACAAATCATGTATTGATCAAATCGCCACTCTACGGATCATCATTGAACAAAGCTTGGAATGGCAGTCACCTCTCTATCTCAACTTCATCGACTTTGAAAAGGCCTTCGACAGCGTCGATCGAGAGGTCATTTGGAAACTACTTCGCTACTACGGGGTCCCATCGACAATTATACACCTCATCCAACAGTTATACGACAATGCTGCATGCCAAGTAATCCACAACGGGAAACTTACGGAAGCCTTCGAAGTGAGGACGGGAGTGAGGCAAGGCTGTCTACTATCACCAATGATCTTCCTGATTGCAATTGATTGGATAATGCGACAGACAACGGCAACCAACGAGGGAACAGGCATAAAATGGACTGACACAAAAGACTTGGAGGATCTGGATTTCGCCGATGATATATGTCTGATTTCCCATAAACTGGAAGATATGCAAGTGAAAAGTAACAAGTTGGCAGAAGAAGCATCAAAGATAGGACTTCACGTGAACATAGATAAAACAGAGATGATGAAGATTCCTAGCCAACATCAACAGCAACAACAACAACAGACCACAATAAGCATAAATGGGAAGAACCTGAAAGAAACAACCTCCTTCACCTACCTGGGAAGCATCGTCTCAACTACAGGCGGAACTGACGAGGACATCAAAGCCAGAATCGGAAAAGCAAGACAAGCTTTCATTACTCTCAAATCTGTGTGGAGGTCAACAGCAATCAGCATCAAAAATAAGATCCGGATTTTCAACTCCAATGTGAAGTCAGTGCTACTATACGGATCAGAGACTTGGCGAGTCATAAAGAGCATCTCAAACAAACTTCAAACCTTCATTAACAACTGTCTCCGCTCAATACTCAAGATCAGATGGCCAGAAAAGATCAGCAACAGGGATCTCTGGGAGCGAACCAATCAGGAACCGATTGTGAAACAAATAGGCAGAAAGAAATGGAGATGGATTGGCCATACGCTGAGGAAACCATCAAGTGACATCACTAGACAAGCCCTCGAGTGGAACCCGAAAGGGAGGCGGCGAGTTGGTCGTCCAAGGGTGACTTGGAGGAGGTCATGTGAAGAGGAGATGAAAGCATGTGGGCAGACCTGGAGCAGGGTGAAAAAGTTGTCAGAAAACCGAAGTCAATGGAGGTGCGCAGCTGAAGCCCTATGTTCCTCTAGGAACTAAAGGATACAATAATAATAATAAGTGGTATATTATGTAATACCTTCTGCGAGGATCTTGAATAAAGGATTGGTAGATGGAATTGGAATCGAGAGGAATAGAGGAGATTTGTAATCAATGTATAAAGCATGAACTGAAGAAAAGAGAAGCAGGACTGGAGTTTCAATGTAATCTTGTCATATCTGATCATTACTGTATGTAATTTCTCATTAACTAATCACAATTCTGTCTATTGCAAAAGAACACTGTAATAACCCTTTATTTTCCAAGCAGTTTTTGCAGTACTGCTTAATTCTGTAATTGAGTTTCGTTACCTACAAACTAAGAGAATAAAAAAGGGTACAATAAGTCGTAAACAGCGAAAAATTCACTTTGTTCTGTTTAGTGGTGGTTAATGGTGCAATTCAAAACTTACATTTCGTCGCACATAGAACTTGTCAGGTGGACATACCTCTATTCCCGTAATTGATTTCGTTTCACCTAAGTCTAACGACTAATTTTGTCGTTTAATTTACAATTTTATCAAGAATCAACTAGTCTGAAGGTGATTTTCATCGTCATCATGAACCAGTCTCTACCACAAAAATATTTGAAAAAAGAACAGTGGTTTATTATGATCATCCTCAAACTGGAAACAACTGGATATTAGGAGCCTACATAAAATCAGTGGGCTGTGGAATTAGAGTATCATATATTAAAATGTAGGTTGCTTATTGGAGGTCCTCAAGATGTTGGGAATCGATGACTAGTGGGTGTTGGTTAAATGACACAAAATATCCATTTTTCATCACATTCGAATTTCTGAACATCTCTTCTCCTAAACTAATATTTCCCTGTTAAATTATCTTTTTATATCTATTCACGTTTCCTTTATATCTGTAATAGTAACTTGAACTTTCCGTTTTCATTCCTCTGTCTATTTTAAACCTGATGTTTATGATTTTAATTTTAAATATCCCATCATCTTAACTTCCGTAGATGTTTGTAATTATTAGCTGATGAGCTCAATTGTTTCCCTCGTCCTGTATTCAGCTATAACCTGGTCATTTCACCGCTTTTCATAACTGTTTATTTCTTGTGTCTACTACATCTAAGATGGCCTACTACAACTCGTTGTTACAATCCACCTCGTGTCTTTTTCATGAAATACCTTTTCAACAAATATAACAAAATTAATTTGCACGTCACACTTTCAGGCTGATACAATGAAATAGGTGTAATAATTTGCTTAGTACCATAGGACCTCTCAGTTGGGTAGATACGGAAAACTCACTATCAGTAAACCAATATTATAACTGTATTGGCAAATTAAGTTTCATTCATCGAAATTAAATTCAATCGTGCATGAAAATGGGTGAGGAGAAGTCTAGTGAACGATAGATGTCATCTCGAATCAGCACTCGATGCTTTCTTTAGGTACTTACACAACTTAGATCATTCATTGGAACCGAGTGTCTAAATACAAGGCAAATACAATTAGAATGTCCTTAAACTAACATGTACGCGAAGATAACAGACAGCCAGCTACTACATTCGACAATCTGGTAACAAAACGAGTTCAACTGCTCTTACTTCCAATACACTGATGTTGTAATACATCATTTGCTTGAAGATACTTTAAGATTGACACTGAATAATTATTTTGCACACTCTAGTTTCCCACCCTGAAAATTTCCTCAGAAGACTCACAAGGATGTTCGACCCAATCCAAGCAAACGTGATGAAAAGTTAAAACAAGATCTTCTATATGTAAGCCTAGACGTCTTTAGAGATATATATTCAGAATCACCCGTTTAGATGCGGAGATCAAATTCGTAACCTGAGTGTTTGCGATTTTATCGACTGCTGGAGTTATATATCTCAAAGAAAACAAAAATCTGCTATATTAATTAAGCCCACTGTTTTTCTCTTCGGGTAAAACAAGGAAGGAAGTTAATTTCGTACAATTGTATTTCATTTTTATTCTATAACGATGCATATCGCTGCTAAGGTACCGATTCTCCAACGAAATCTACTTGATGAACTACTAAATACTTACCTTAATTAGCATACCAAATGTAGGCAAATATTTCCTACCACAAATCAGAAATGGTCTATTTCTTTTTTCTTCAAAAACCTGTTTTAAACAGACATATCAATTTTAAGCAATCTGATTGGTTAGTTTTGTCAAATCGATGTAGCAGTCATATATCATTTGTCTAGCCTTTCGCTTTTATATAGAAAAGCAGAAAAGACGACAGGAAGACAAAATTGAAATGAGAATCAGTAATTACCAACATAAATAAATCGGAAACACGCGATACGTTATTAAAATACATCACGTGCACTAAGATTCAGTGAACTGTGCTATTTTTGTGGGGAAGTATGACTAATCATCAGAAGAATGTGGGAATACAACCTCCTTTGAAAATATTTTTAGCTCGTGCAATCTACGATAATTTATCAGAAAACCCAACCGAATTAAACTTTTCACGTGGTGATTTAGTTACTGTTTTGGATAGAAATCCTTCTGGTTTAAAAGGTTGGTGGGTGTGCAGTATACGTGGTCAACTTGGGATTGCACCAGGAAATCGTTTGGAATTATTAGGTCTTATACATGTAAGCCTATTGTTGTTGATTTTTTTTAAAAAAAACCTTTTTCTTATAAAAAAACTTTCTTAAACTTATAATTAATTTTAATTAAATTGGAAATATAACATAGTCAATTAAAGGCTCAGCTATCAACCAAAATATCAGCAGCATAATGTGGTCGAGCTGTGAATGACTGTCTTCAAACGGGAACAGTTTTAAGCTATTGCACACATACTTACTTTCAGTGTTGTCATTCTCAAGTAGAAAACCTAGGTCAAAGAAAAGTGATACGATGACGTACCATCCTGCGTTAGATTTACAGAGGATGTAATGTCGATGAAATTGAAACCTGGACACACGTTTCTGTTCTTTTCATGGTCTTTATTTATTTCAGTTGGTTTGAACACATTTTAAATGTTCAGGTCGATCTGGAGTATTACTAATATTTGCTAAGTATTTAAGATCACCATACTTATTTACAATGATTGTTACTCTGTCACTGTTCTCCAATATCTTATGTAATTACGAACTACTGCAGTGCCAACTGAAATGTGTTACTTTGTATCAATCTCATTGGGTTGAAAGTGGTTTGAGGCGCCAATGTTTCATTGTATCAAATCTGTTTGTTACTGACTCCTGAAAAAGTTGTAGCTGGTAGCTGACAAAAGATGTAGCACAATTTGCAGTAATGTATTCTGTCTTATGTATGTATTTATATATGTAAAGCATAGTCACTGATGATGAGAAATTTTGCGTTAATTTCAAGTTTCCTCTTTTTATTACCATACACTTCTTATGAATCACCGTCTGAACACTGTGAAGGAAAACGTAAAATTGTGTTTAAACTAATTAAAACAGTAATCAGCCTCCATAAAATGAATTCACCCGAACATATGAGAGGAAATAATAACGTTTACTGTTAAATTTACCAAAAAATCAACAAAATAATTTGGAATGTATTACGCATGATGATCGAAAAATCTCCGACATGCATTGCTTGTTGTAACAGGATTAAATTCGAAGTAAGCTGAACCGGTCAAAGCGAGGTATGATTTCATTAAATGAAGCCAGTGACTACTGCGACCTATATGCAAGATTGTGAGTTGCTTGCTGAAAGTGACAGGGCAAATAAAGTCGACGGTAGAGACTTGGAGTAAAATATATCTCAATTATCCGAGCGTAAAATTTCTTTATTCGCCAAATCTTTTCCCTTTGATATCCACCTGTAACTCCTGACAACATTATTTTCATTTCTTTTGTCTCCCCTAGAATGAGTTTTACCTAATGTACGCATGTAAGACCTGTGAAAACTAACCGTTACTTCAGGATCTATGTTGACACTATCTGAAAATTGAACAGCTATGGTGGGCTGCATGTAGTGCTTAGAATGCAACGTGAGGAGCTTAGGTTGTAGTTACTGAAGGTTACAAAAATTAAGCGCACAGCTTTTTAATTAGTATTGGAAAGCACGAAATCTAAATATGAAGCTTTATGCTAAGTGATTTTCGCACAGTCGATTACAAGGACTTCGAAGACACTTAGCAGTAAGAAAACTAAGCATCTATGCGTCTAGTAGCTAATATACCATGAAGTCAGCACATTACAGAATTCATCCTTCACCATGTATCTACAAAAGTAGTACAGTTGATTTAGTAACATTCAATGGTTTAATTTATTTGTCGATTTATGAAGTCTGTTAGAGTAGTACTGACTTAAGGTGAACCTCAATAATGAACACTCTTACAAAAACTTCACCGTTTATACCCTTAGCTAAACTCTACCTAACGTGTAAGCATTGACGAACGAAATCAGAGTAAAAAGACTGGATATGATAAGTATGTCTGGACAAAGTTATATTTTATACAAATGAGATACGAAACTTGATAAATAAGGAGTTTATACAACTTATCTGGTGGCTTGATTGGCGTTAGGCTAGGAGAGTGCACTGAATGAAAGTACAAGAGGAGAGCGAACCAGATGTGTCCAGCAGGATTAAAATTCAAAAGATGCAGAAGTCCCAAAATGATGGGTGAGCGAGTTTAAACAAAAGTTCAAGGATTCAGTGTACACTACAAGTCTCTTGGTTTTGAAAAGCTAACATTCGGATTTTTGTGACTTTATCAGTTTGCAAAATACTTCGATTCCCGGCCGACGCACAACTTTACCTCGCCAAGCCATTAATGAGACTGGTAAAGAGGGAGGGTTGAGCATGAGGCTAGCAACCCCATCCCGTAAAAATAAACGCCACTGCTACCGAATCTTCAAGACTCTAGCTTGAAGCCCTATGTTCCACTGAGAAGGTAAATGAATAAAAACAAAAAAATTGTAGTCATCTGAATACCTGTTAGATAACTAACTGGTGCTTAGTCGTCATTCTGTATTGTATTTACACTCCGTGATTCGGACACAATGGGAAATCAAACCAAACCAGATTAGTACTGTGAGAAGCCCTAATGTAAACTTAGTTAATGTCATTGAGCACACTTTATCATTGGAAATTCCAGGAATTTACATCAAAGCATGCCAATAGCTGTGAATGCACAATGGTCACAAAGGGAACAGTCAATTACTAAACATGAATATATGCCAACTAATAAATGTACACACTGTGAGACTTACATATAAGAACACAATAAACACGTGGAGAGACTCTTTTCAAAGAATTTATTATCAAGCTGTTCTACCGCGTATGTACTTATAATAACAATGTAAAATATGATGAAATATTTGTGATTACAGTCTTAGTTCTATATCAGGTGAGCAAACAATTTGTGCAATGTATAAAATAGTTCATAGACAATATAGATCTTGGAAAGGGAAGCAAATTCAATAGGATTAGAAGCCAAATAAAAACATTAAGTAACAAGATAAGAAGTTCGATAAGACGGAATTTTACATGACTTAAAAATGACTTTTAACTAAAATAATAAATAAGATAATTGAAATAATACCAGAAACTGTTCATAATGAAAATAATAGCAATAATAACGATCGTAATAATAAAGGAAAGGTGCACAGATTAAATAAACAAGGTGAAAAATCAATAAACCTCTTTCTCATTCCTTTCTATTTTACGGCTAAAATAGAAATAGAGACTGCGCATACTTCTTTTGTACACAAATATTTGGCTTACAGTCATGAATAACCAAGGTCTGCGTTGTCTTTAGAAGCTCGGGATAAAGAAAATGCATCAGGCTGGTATGAACTCAACAGATGACCTTAAAATTGTTGTCAGTGTCGACTTAGTGAAAGAGGTTATTCAAGTGTTTTAGAATATATCTTTCCTCCTTGTAAATTCATTCTGGAATAGGATTTCACATCCTTACATTAGCATTGTGTGGTCACTGGTGATGTTTCTTGCTCGACAAGAGCGGGTGTTCTGATAGATATACAGGGACACAGCCAGACGAGGCAGCTTGTCTTTTGTAGAAAGGGAGAATAACTTCCGGTTAGTGAAAATCATCCAGAGTTTCCCCGTAAAGAAGGTTTTGTCTACACATTTTGAAAAACATTTTTTGGGTATATCCTTAGCCTGATCACATTTGAATTCAAGATTAATGAAGCTGGTTTACTTAGGAACTGAATTAATGACCAGTTTAGAACATTTATCTTCTGTATTTTTATCAATACTTGTTTTGTTCTTCAAAATTGTTCTCATGATTCTTAGAACTTTGTATTGTTTATGTCGTAAGCAATTGTAATCTTGTTAACTGAAAGTTGAAATAACCAAAAACGGAAAGCTTCTCTGACATGAACTCAAATGAAGATGTTTCAGTTGCAAAAATTAATTTCAGTATGTGAATAAAGTTACTGATCTTGTCCTCCTTTTGTTAATTTGGTTCAGCTGACAGAAGGAATGATTGGCACATACATATTCTATTTTTTTAGAATATATATATATATATACTAAATAGTGTTATTTTACCATTAAAACTTAAACAACTTCCTAAATGTCAGTCTTATGTTCGCTGGTTAAGGTTAGTGTTTCCTTGCTTCACAGTTCTTGAATAACAAAGGATCACATTTTAGACTAGTGGAAGTAAGCGGAGTGGTAACCAGCCAACAGTTATGATCCACTTTAAAGTCAAGTAACAAAACGGTGTAACCTAGAGACGAAAACTATGCACCACCATCATTGTTTTAACCGTAGTGTCGAGAAACTAGGCTAGTGTTATTCCATATTAATCAATTTATTAGATATACCATACAGTGAAACAGTATTATTATTTACTGGATGACATTTAGAACACAATTTATTGTTCACAGTCATATCAATTATAATCACACAACTTCGAAACTCTCATTTTATAGTTCACTTTATTCTTTCCTATTCGTTGTAGGCGGAGTAGAGTTTTACAAATGTTCGGGACAGGTATTGAATCATTCCTATTACACGCGTTTCTACTTGATTTGATAAATAAAGCTTCCGTTATCAATCTCTCTCTCTTCACCCTGTTACATTGGATTTTAAAGCTGCCATCTTATCCCATCCTTTTGTGTATAATTGCACGTAGTGCTAAAGCTGAAATATTCTCTAGATTTCTCAGCTTATTAGACTCAACTAATCTAGATTTTGCTAGGATTTTGTGGTCTGCCAGTCTGACTGACCCCGTTCCACTACTTTGACCTATGTATTCGACCTGATAGTCATTCCAGTAGGGTATTAGATAAACTTAATTGTTTTGTTTTAAAGGCTCCACAGGCTCCTTTAACCGACAAAGCTTGTTTCTAATTAAGTTTGTGGTTGGTTTGAATGCTAGTCACCTTGATTCCTGCCTTGTTAAGAATTCTGCGTAAGGTTTCCGAGGTCTCTTCCTTGTATGGAATTACTACTGATGATTAAGATTCCCTATTGGTGGTGTTGTCATCCTTCTGTGCATGTTTGTCATACATGTCGTCATTATCATTATTGTTAGTTTTAATTTTACATTTTCCTACATGCTTCCTGATCAATTGGCCAAGGTATTATTAAGTTCCAGAGCTTCTCTCATATGTTTCACTTCCTGTTTGAGATTTTCTTTGGCTCT